TTCTCTGTACCTCGTTGCTCACATCTAAGACAGTTGTTTTTTCTTCAATTGTGTCTTATTATAAACGTCCACATAGGAGCCATAATCGGGGTAGGAGACCGCAAACGCGGGGTTCGAAATAGTCAAATGTTCTATTTTAAGAACAAATTACACTACCGTCAGGGACGGGTAAGTAGAAAAAATATTATATTTAAAGTATTTCTGGGAAATTCTGCCGCTAGACGCTGTTTTACGCTGGTGAAGCTGTATTTATCATGAATTCGAAGAGATGTTTGAGGAAAATTAGCCATAATGATGTTGTTCTAGTTAACTTTCCGCCGTCCTTTTGGTCGCAAGTTTTTTTTGTTTCGTCCAAACAGGGATATTCTTACCTCAAATTCAAAGGAGGCAATGTTGAAATGGAATTTATTCATCTCTTACGGAGATATTTTCTAACGCCATTTTGTTTGTTTATCCTTTGCGCGGCGCCGTCGCAAAAATGCGCGCGCGTCATGGTTCAATTTGTACTAACAAAAGCACTTTTGACTATTTCGATGGAACCAACCCCATTAGTGGACAAGGTATCCCGTTACGGTCTCCTACACCGATTATGGCTCCTGGTCCAATGATGAATATAACTATAGCAAAAGTTTTTGTTTGTTTCTTCGATTTTTTTTTCTTTATATTTTCAGGTGCTCTTACTTCATCCAGTATCCTCGCTAGCCTTGATAGCAAGTACCGGGCTAAGTTGAATTCATATTTAGACCCAGTCCTTCAGAGTCCAGGTCGCAGCAGGTTTGTGAGGTGTTGGCACGCTAAGACAGCTGGTTGGGCGGCATCAACATTCCACAGCAACTGTGATGGAAAGGGTCCCACTGTAACCATCGTCCAAGTTGGTAGCTACGTATTTGGTGGATACACTGACAAGTCTTGGGGTGGTGAGTATCTGATTTCATAACAGAATTAATCGCAAATTATACAGTAGGGTGCACACTTAACAATTTTCCCTGCTAGCTTTGTGACTGGCACTGCTACTTTTGTCACGGACAGTGATACTAAATAACGTTTCATGTAATGTGACATTCATTTGACTTCTTGTTTATTAGTCTTGGTCCAATCCCAGTGGTTATCAGTTATCTGTGTCGCACACAGTTCGTATTATAGGGAATGTACAGTTTATTGCATATGGTGTAGAGCTCTACACTACAGAGTATCTTTGATGGAAATGGTGCCACTGTAACTATTGTTTTTGAAACATCGCTAGTTAAAACTCTTCAAAAAAAAAAAAAAAACGCATCCACACATAGTGTATACAAATCATTCTCGCCCGTCCACACGGAAACGCTAAGACGATGGTAGGATAGAATCCCTTACAGGGCATGCGCTGTATGACGTATGACATCATTGTTTGAAAAGAAACCTCGGTTTTCTCCCGTCCACACGAAAACGATACGCCGGCGTTTTTTAACAAAAATTCCACTCGGGACTGTTGTCGAAAACCTGCGTTTTTGGTGCCCGAAAATGCTGTTTCAGTGTGCTTGTGGACGAAAGGCTAAAACGGAGAAAAAATCAGTTTGTTTTGAAAAACATCCGGGTAGAACTGGACAGGACCTAAGAGCAAGTCAGTAAATTTTAAGTGTGGTTACACATAACAACATGGTAAATGTTTAGCGTGGTATAACTAAAGGTTAAATTTCCACTACATGTTGTTTGTAGGTTCGGATAATTTAGCAAAGAATGGCTTTCTTGCTTTGGGTAGCAAAAACCCTTGCTAAGATAATAACACGTTAAAATGTTACGGTCACTTTCTTTGTTCTTTTTGACGTATCCATGGATAATCCCCATCTAGTATTTATTTTGGCAAAGACCGATAACTTGCACTGCACCAATTTGCCGTGGTAAAAGGTTTATTCATTTATAATACTTGTTAAATTAAAATTAGTTCAACTGTTTAGAATTGTACAGGACACAACATTTAAATAAAAAAGGACACAAAATATATACACGGAACGGCGAATAATAAAGTGACCAGAAAAGAAAAGAATTGAACAATTGTTCAATTTTTTTAACCCTTTGGCGAAGGCCAGTTATGAGGGAAAAACCACATTTTGACCAAATCTTTTTTGAACAGTTTTTCGGCCAGTTAGCAGTGAGTTAGCATAGAAATGGATACGAAAGAGATTTCCAACACCAATACTGAAGAACCATGATTTTCTGCTAATTGGATGAAATTTTAAACAGCTTTTTTGTTTTTGGCGCATAGCGGATCTACTTCGATCTTTTTTCTCGCTCTCTTCTCTTTCCCTTTGCCTTTCTTTCTTTTTATAGCCAGTTTTGTTGCCCACCTTATCGTCTTTTCTTTCACATGCAATTTTGACTGCCTTTCTTTCCAAGAAAGGGACAAATTTAGTCTGCAACGAGTAGCAGGTAAATAGCAAAATTGGCAGTGAAATTTTTCGCCAAATATTGCTTGTTTTTTGTCTGTAACTCTGTTAGGATTGGTCAAAATTTTCTAAGTGAGGCACCAGTGGAAAGATCTATCCTCGCTTATTTTGCTAATTACCTTCTTAGTAGCTTAAATGGAAGGATAATACGCATCGGTAGTTATGGACCAAAAACGACCAAACCGGATTTCAAAGAGTTAAGCAGTTTTATGTGACACTGACTTCGTATCAATAAATGAATTAACATTACTGTTGTCAAAACAAGTGAGTATAGAAAAAAGAAAACTTGCAATAACATAAATTATTTCCCGTATCTTGAATTGGCAACTAGCCTAGTTGGACGCTAGTTTGGCTTCAGTTGGTCTTATTTTCATATTGGTAAAAACCAAACTCGAACAAAGAATCTATTTGTAGTTTGTGTTCCTGCAAAATGAAAACAGATATTGAATTTTTTTCCATAGAGAGAGGAGGAACGGATGTTTTCGCAGGCTATACATATTGTAGCTTTCACATTTTAGCTTTCACCTTCTTGGTCAGCACCCGTTAACATCCGTCGAAACATCTGATGATCTGACGGTTTGTTTCGAGGTCTTGTCTTGCTTTTTCGATCATCCCTCGATTGATTCAACCCAAAAGATGCCACTGCATCCGTTTGGAAATGATGTTTTAATGTTTCGCCTCGATCAAGCCTCTCAGCGCAAGAGTAACATCTCGGATGGAATGGTATTCAAGAAGAATTACACAAACAAGCAAATAAAACTCAAATGAACAGCTGCCCCATCTAACAACGTTTTCAAAATATTGGTGGGAATAATAGAAAATTATCCATGCGGTAATGTCTGTCTCTGTCGAATAATAATGAATGCTTGCAACAACATCATCATCAACAACAACAACAACAACAACAACTTTATTTCAGCACCCTACATAGATTTACATGATACAAAAAAATAGATATAAATATGGAGAGAGTATAGGGTGCCCATAATAACCATTGAGGGCTAAGAGGATAGGTCAGCCTTACTAAGGTTATTAATAAATGATTATATTAAAGGGTCGGGTAACACACACCAAAAAAAGCTACACAAAAGATTCACAAAAGAAAAAAAAACTAGTGGAAAAAGAAAGACAGCAAAAGAAAGCTAAGTATGCCAGTATTAAATAAGGGAAAGACAAAGCTCGTACTAAGCTGTCTGGTAATTTCCCGAGGGTAAGGGTGGGTCGGTAGTTAACATATTTTTATACGGGGAGGCTACGTCCGAGGTCCAACCCTTACCCTTTTATATACCATTTTTCACGAAAAAGGTACCCCTTTCGTACAACTTCTGTTGAAAAATGTTACCCCTTTTACAATTGCATCGAATGCATTGTCATTTAAATAGGAATCAATCACAAAAATAGAACGTTTCCCCGACTTTATAACGTCATAAAATTCATCTGTTCGACCCTTTGGGCCATTTCACCGACCCAAATGACAGATTTTCCTACCCTTTCATATATCTCAACTGGTAAAATTACTACCGTTTCATATACCTGAAGCCTGAAAAAAGTACCTTAAAGGGAGCACCACCCCCCTCCCCCGAGGGATAATTTATATACCACCACCCCTCCCCCCGGGGAATAATTTTTATTCTGCTTCATCTACTGAAGAAACCCAGAAGCTAATCGACGATTTGAGACTCGAAATACCGTAAAATTTTCCTGCTACAAGGCAAGCAAAGTCTTTGGAGGCACAGGTGAGAAGTAGCTATATTATTATATACAAAGTGGGCCGTTTACCCAATCTTACCTTAGTTGCTAAGGAAGCAAAACTTAATAATAACCTGTACCGATCAAAGTCTCGGTACTCCCACCCCTTTCATATGGAAGCCTCACCCCAGGGATAAAGCACTAGAAATCTAGAAGCCTTAGAAAACTCAGGGGAAAGGGGGGGAGGGTGGGGGCACATCGTACACCAAGCCAAGCGCATAGCCCTACTAATGTCATTTGCTTTGTTTGTTGGCACAAGTAAACCTCTGTGAGATCTTAACAGTGTCCATAGAATCAGTAATCGACAGTTGGGTACGCGTAAGTAGGCAGTTGTTCAAACAAAGGCTAAAACGATCCTGCTTCATGGTGCTTCTTGAGTCATCGGGGGGTGAAAAAAGGAACGCCCTGGATGCTACAACTGGTGTTCAATAAAATCTTAACATTTCCACTTGACCAATTTTGGGTTGAGAAACATGGCTGCGGTGGTGGTAGGGAAGGGGGGTGTGGGCAAAGCCACCCTGCTATCTACATTAACGGCAATTCTCTTTCAGGAAAACAACTATTACTGTGGCTGAGTTTCTCTGCATGGTAAGCATATTTTGCATAGTATTGCCAAAATTCGCCATAGCAGTGACTATAATATTGTAATTGATCAATAATAATGTAATAGTAAAGATTGTAATATGATAATTTGCATTGTTTGACAAAGTAATATTTTTAAACTTTCAGTATTCCGAGCATCACTCATGTTGTTAAACTACTATTGTAAATAGTAGCATTAACATTAGTACATGACATTTAGTTTGCCGCAGAGAACTTGAGCAGGAGAAAAAAATCCCAATTTCCATCAGGTACTGTACAGAACCTCTGTTAACAGACACTAATCTGGATTCACAACAATTTCTATGTTAAAAATCTGCATTTACAAACTATTGTAAGTAAAGACATCTTTTGTTGGTAACAAACATCCATACAGAGGTACATGATAGATAATAGCTAGCAAATACTCCTCTCTCCAGCCACATGGGACACTTCGGCTGAACAGATGCCTTTCACAAGCAGTATAATTCCAGAGTAATTTGGTCAACACTTTGATACTGAATAAGAGAACAAAAATTAACGCATAGAGGGAAAAAGGAGGATTGAGAGTGCACCAAAAAAAATCAATCCACCAGTCAAATCACACAGTCAATAATGCACATAGAAAACGGAAGGGACGGTTATTGATGATCAAACAAGGACAAACAATCTTTCTGTTGAATAATTACTTTTCCAGGAGGGAAAATTTTTTTATTAAATAAATAGCAACATTGATCCTTCTCCTCAAATGTGAAATGTAAGTGTGGCGATTTTTACACCGAGTCTAGACTGTACATGTATTCAATAAGAAACGTGATAATGTATATTGTCACCTAGCCTGGTGATCTGGGGCCATTCAATCGATGTTATTCAGTAACATCCACGTGAAAGGTCCTTTACCCCCGCGGAGTAAGAAGAGGCTTGAAACTTCAAAACATCCTTTAAACGGAGACAGTCACATCTTCTTGTTTGAATCAATCGAGGGATGATCGAAAAAGCAAGACAAGACCTCGAAACAAACATCAGATCATCAGACAAATCAGAGTATACGATCGAAGCAGAAGCATACATGAGTCACAGGTAAATATATCCCTCGAGGCGAGCCTTACGTCATACGTTTACGAAATCCGACCGAAGATTAAAGGGCCTTTCGACGGATGTTAACGAGTGCTGACCGTTTATAAAGAGAAGGAACAAAATTGGCCCCAGAACAGTGCCCTGGGGGACACCGGATAGTACAGGTGCCCACTTGGACGAAGCACCATTTACCACCACACGTTGCCTCCTACCAGTGAGAAATGCCCGCAGCCAGTTGTTTAGTTGCCCAGATATACGGTAAAATTTTGCCTTAAGGAGGAGCATTTCGTGAGGCACAGTGTCAAAGGTCTTCCCAAAATCGAGGAAGATCACATCGACCTGCCCATTGATGTTAAGAACGCTTGCCCTCTAACGAAGATATAATATGCATGGGTCCACCAAAGAGGACGTCAAAAGAGTTAAGGAGTTTTTATGTGACACTGACTTCTTATCAATAACTAAAACTTACATTACTAGTGTCAAGACAAGTGCGTAGAAAAAAGAAAACTCGCAACAACTTAATTTCAATATTTCCCGTATCTTGAATTGGCAACTAGCCCCGTAGGAGGTTCATTTGACTTTAGTAAGTCTGATTTTTCGTGTTGGTGGTAAAAAACAAACTCGAACTAAGAATATATTTGTAGCTTGTGTTACTGCAAAATGAAGACTGGTCTTGTATTGTTTCTCGTTTTGCATATTATAGCTTTCATATTTTAGCTGGGCATTGTGATTATTTTTCTCTGGTCTTTAGTCGTTGAAGCCTTTGACCAATATTTTTATGAACGTATCTCGTAATCTAAATTTTACATGTGTTTTCCATAGGTTCTCGTCGCTATGTCTCATCCAGCAAATCGTTCCTTTTCTCATTATATAACATCAATGGCTACGCTCCTGTTAAGGTGAACATCAAGTCAAGTCATTACAGTTCCGCTATTTACACATGGTCCGGTTACGGACCAACCTTTGGTGCAGGACACGACCTGCACATATCCGGCAACGCTGGAAACAACAGCTATCCCTACACCAGCTGTGGCTGGTCCTACCCCCTCCCCCCTGGGTACTCTTCATATCACTCTTCTTGTCAATTTTATGCAGGATCCTACCATTTCACTCCCACTGATGTTGAAGTGTTTTACGAGATAACAACTTAGTGTGTTTATGCAAACTTGTTTGTTGATTTAGCCAACTTTCAAGGACCTTGTTTTGCAAGGCTAGAAATGAAAGTGATTATCTTGAAGCTCTTTACAATACAATACAAGATGCCTCAGACTTTGCTTCAATAACTCATTGAAACTAAATAAATGGCCTCTACCACGTGTGAGGCTGTATATATAGCCTTACGTTAATTATAAACTAGAATATGATATGGCCAACTAATAACTATAATCCTACGCGTCAAATTAAGAGCCAATGTCTGCAATTTTCGAGAATCGGCTGACAGTCGTGAATTTTTTAATTTCTTCATATTTTGCCCAAATAATCTCTATAGTACACTAATTTCAAAAATCACCTTAAAACTTGTAACAGCTTTTTATTTTTTCATGAATCAGGCAAAGTTTGAAAAACTCTAAATCGGCGCTCTTTCGAGTATGAAATTAGCGAAAATTGAGCATTTTCTTTGCGCTTGTACATAAAAACGGAATAATATCTCTCGATGAAATCAAGTCACAAAACAGACACACATTTTTACTTTATAATTCAGCAATTAACTTTAAATAAACCGTTTAAATGAGACTGTACCGGCTGCAAGAAGAAACACGGTTTCAGCACTTTTCAAACATGGCAAATTTGACCAAACTTCACCATCGTAAAAAGCCAGTTGGTACATGGAATTTCAATATGAAACAACAACTGTATTAAAGCATATCCTTTGCTGTTGCTTGTGTTAAAATATTTCTGGCGGCATTCCAAATGCGCACCGTCGAGAGACCAAAACCTGAAGGGTATTATTTTGACACCAGGAAAGGGTCAGGAAGGCGCGTGCAACAAGCAAGTTTTGACGCTTGGAATATTAATCCTTTCAAACATAAGTTACTTCGACATTTAAACCCTAGTCAGAGTTGTAACGGTTTCAGATTATATTTCGGCGTTTCTGTTCGGTTTAACATGATTCCTTTCAACTGATTTTTGCGATAACCGTAATGAAGAGACACGAATACGCAGTTCAAATCGGGCGTCTGGAAAAGCGGGAATCTGGAATCCGGAATAGGAACGGGAATAGGAACCGGAACAGGAACCGGAACCGGAATAGGAAGCGAAATGGGAAGAGAAACCTATATAAAAGCAGGGACAACATTTACCTTAATTTAAGTTTATCTGGATTTAATTCCTATTCAGATTATATACGAAAAATAAGCGGAAAATGAAATAGGAACCGGAATAGGAACCGGAATAGGAAGGGGAATATAAACAGTGTATAGAGATATGAAAAGAAAAAGATATAATCGTGATATAAATAAAATGCCAGAGAAATAATTAAAGAAACAAGAAAACACCCTTGAAATGTTAATCTAATTAACCTTTCTTTATCTTTAGCCTATGACACATTGTGTTTTCGTGTCAAACATAATAGCGAACTTAAGCAACGAGAACGCTGACCGTCACTTGATGGAACGCTTCTGTCTCACACAACGAATCTGAATTCTTCCTCTTACCTTCCACTGTGCGAATTTGTTGAGTCAGAGCACCTAAAGACAGAAAACATCCACTTCCAGTTCCCATTTTTAATGTCCTGGACGTCGCGGTTGAGGTAGACGAAGTACTGGCTGGGATGGGTTTAGGGGGGGGGAGGAGGTAAGTGTTAATACCCTTTTTAAGCTGTGGACTATCTATCTCTGGTTAACTTCCCAATTTAGCACCGTACAATATATCTATGGAGCAAACCTGAGGTGTATGGCAGCCCAATAAACGTCTCCGATGGGTGTCTCGTATACACATGCTCTGACAAATAATATTAACATGTGATAACCACCTTCCTGTGAGAGACAAAAGAAACCTTAAGATCTGACGACAGCAACGCCAGCGAAAACGCTACTGAGAAATTGAATTCGGGTCTTAATTCAAACTGTTTCTCATTAATTCCAAATTGCCCAGTCTTTTAAAGGTTGGGAAATGAAGCTGGAGACCGCGTCCAAGCTCAGAAAGACACAATAAAATTTATTGCCTGCCGTTCACATTCTCAAGAGAACTTAAGATTTGATCATTTACATCGTAGTTGTGCATACGCAGTGAAGAAATTGACAGAAAGCGCGATGCACTAGCAAAGCTGTTGCTTTACTTATTTAACTTGCGGCTTTTTCTACCTTCTCGCTACCGTGTTATAAAGAGATTCGGGGGGGGAGCATGATACCAGAGTAGTGTTCTTATTTTTTGTATAAATTGAATTCGAATTAAAATAATTTAAAGTAAATGATATCCCTGTTCTTGTATCGGTTCCCCTTAACATTGCTGTTCCTGTTCCGTTGCTGTTTCCGGTTCCGGTTCCGGTTCCTGTTCCCATTCCCGTTCCTATTCCTGATTCCGGTTTCCGGCTTTTCCAGACGCCCGTTCAAATCACAGTTCGTAGAGGGGAATATTGTCGAAATACTCGCTTGCTATAGTTTTAATCGTATTGAAACCTTAAAATCAGAAAAGTTATTTACTTACCTTAACTTAAATGCTAGACGGGGTCACAGTACCGCTAACTAAATTCTGCATCAAGGCAGAATCAAAGTTAAGTTTGTGTATGTTTTCAATCTGTCAACACGAGGGAAGATGACATTCCGGAAGTGCGTGACGCGTAACGCGCCGGCAAAGAAATTCCTGGTATAAGTGTCTTACGGTGCAAGTCTTTGATGCCTGTTCGTATAGCATCTCGCACATATTCTAACTTGGTTTATGGCGCCTGTGGCCCCAGTAATGCTGAATGTATTGCGATCATAGAAAAGATGGCGCGATCGTGAGTCACTTGGTATGTTCCTGACTTGTTAGTCACGTGAGCATGTAGGGCAATAACCAAACATCGACCCTACCATGCTAATGATAAAAGTAAAGTTTTCTGCATTTAGGTTAGGTGACCTTTGTTTGATCCACAAAATTGGCGCATGAAAATAAGAGTTTTTCCTCACCACCGCTAAATGTTTGGTTCCCGGTGGCGGTGCAACAAATCACGTGGTACCGTTCCAGATCAGGCTACTGGCTGCTCATAGAGGGGTCCTTAAAGGCACATTGATTGATGACTCTGTATGGCCTGAAGAAAATGATTTACGGAGACGTTTTCTGAGCAACGAAGGTGCAGCTTTTACACTCCTTTTTCGTTTCGAAAATGGACGAGCACGCGAGCGAAGCGAGCGCGCGAGAGATATCCCCTTGCGCTAATGGTCAATAAATCCCCTGCGGTTTTTGTTTTCATACGCGAAATTGACGATCTCCAAAGAGAAAATAGATCGACGATGTCTAAAGAAAAAGTAGAGGGACTGTGAATAGGCTACGAAGGTGCTTGCTATTATTTTAGTGAACTTTACAACAGGTCTCAGGTGACTATGCTAACGTTATGAAAAGTCTACTTAGCTTGTTTAAGTTTAGCTCTGGCAGGAGGAGGAGATGGGTGGGTTGGTTGGCATTGGGTTCTCCATTAAGATCAACCCTATACATACAAAAATTCATGTCTTTATCACTGCATTTAGACCTAGCAGACTGTTTGATCCACAAAATTGGCCATGAAAATAAAAGTTTTTCCTCACCACCGCTAAATGTTTGGTTCCGGGTGGCGGAGCACAAATCACGTTGTACCGTTCCAGAACAGCCTGCTGTCTGCTTATTTAAAAGGGGTCCGTAAGGGCACATTAATTGATGACTCTGCGCGGCCTGAAGAAAATGATATACGCAGACGTTTTCTGAGCGACGAAGGTGCAGCCTTCACACTTCTTTTTCTTTTCGAAAATGGCCACGGACTTCTCTCCTCGCTCCTCGCTGCTAGGCGGTCGTTTTTGCCTGAGGGATACCACCACGAAGGAGTTTTAGGAGGTGGACATTGGGGGGTACCCAATACTGCAATACCGTAAGAAAAAATGGCAAATACCGAAATACCGCGTCGAAAATCGTCTAAATACCGATACTGCATATTTTAATCACATTCATAATCGGTTCCGCATACTAAAAGGGTGCTTCCATCTAGCGCGTTTAATTGTCTCAGGCATTTATGCACCAGATGTCCATGCTTTTTTAATATTTTGGTAGTTGGCAAATTTTTGGCAAATTTTCACTGAAAAGAACCTTTTGGTAGGTCGACCCAACAGCTAACTAACTCCAATGAAAATAACTCTTGAAAGCGCGAAAAAAACAAACAAACAAACAAACTAACTAACCAAAACCCTTTCCACGCACGTTCAGTGCGAGTTTGGATGAATCTATAGTCTAGTACGTTAGTATCTCAGGGGTCAACTATCTCGACTGTCTCACACGCCGCGCCGGTAAGAGGCAAACTTACCAGATTTTCTTTTTTAACTTTATAAGGCGTTTTTCAATTCTCGAAACCCGACATCTAAACTTACTCTTGTTGCGATAATGCTCGCCTCCTTCGCCCTCTTCATAAAAAATTGCCACACAGTCAATGATGACCACACCGTCTTCGCCGTCTCAGCGACCTCAGCCATTGTGAAAAAACGTGTAAGACCTCGAACCTACACAGCCGTTTTTAGTGTCGTCACGTAACGCTCCTCCCCAGGAGGAGCGTTGCGTGACGACACTAAAAAGGGCTGTGTAGCAGACCGGCACACGTAGCCTGGTAAGGTAACTTGAGGCGACTCATTGTCACTGGATGCAACAACAATCACATTGTATATTATCGACCATTAACTGTCACAAAATGACCCACAATGGTTTAATCATTTACCGTTATGTCTCAAGACTTCTCAATATTAACTTTTATTGACCTTTATGTCCTACTGTGTTTAGTTTTGCGTATTGTATCGAAAGGAAAGCGCAAATAAACGGTACCGTAATACCGTGAACAATCTTATTTCACCGAACACCGTCAGCCAAAATGATGATAAACCGCATACCGCAGAGCTAGATGATACCGCAATGCCGCACGTTAAAATTAAAATTACCGAAATACCGCATGAAAAAAAGCCCAATACCGCAATACCACAGGTCACTGCAGGTGCAGACTTAGTGAAAAGGGCATTCTCCATCTGAAATTTAAATCGACATGAAAGGCTATTGTCAGCCTTTTATCTCTTTTCCGCGCAACGTATTTGGTTAAAAGATGATAAGTAAAATGGCTGAGGCATTTTAACGTATTTTTTCATTTAGGCGTCGGATTTTGACGTTATGAAAAAAAACTTGTCAGTGAATTGGTTTATTTTCTAGCCTGCGAAAGAGTGCCGGGGGGTAGTGGCGGAGAGAGCCAGGTGACTATTCCTTTATTCAGGCGAGAGTTAGCATGTACGTGCATTCTGGTCTAACGCCATAATGTGTAGACTGGCCTTTAATGGGCGGGGATCAGATCGTCAGCAGCAGGTTGAGGTCTAGCCAGAAGATACCCTTGCTGCAGAGGAGCAAAGCAATACTACTTTCAGTAATTTAAACATGTTAAATACTTTTATTTCGCTCATCTCATTGTCCATTGTCGATTTGTGGTTTTTCAGGAATGCTCTTTTGCGGAGCATTGGCCAATTTTTCTTTAAACAGTTTTACTCGTTTCCATTTCCCTGCTCTACCTTCATGTTGCATATGGCGTAAGTGTGTACCTAAAGCCCTCAATTCATACTGAGGAGATCGACAGAGAAGTCTATACCCCAAGCGGGGTTAAGATTAGTTTATTACAATCAAAGGCTCAGAAGGCTAAGTGCAAATAAAAGAAAACTAGTGTGTAAAGTTTTGAAGACTCTGCTTACTCTATTTGTTTTCTTTCTCCGTTTGAGTTTCGGCTTGTACATCCTAAAATCAAGTTTTAATTTAGTTCGACATGTTTTGGGGAATATTATAAAAATAATAAAAAAAAACAGTGTTAATTGTCATTTTATTTTTCTTGTACACTCGTGCGATGATTTATCCTTGTCTGTACAGTTGCGTGACAAGACTCAAATCACACACGGGCTTTCATCACGCAACACAGGGTTTAGTCCGCGGCTAAAGGACGGAAAATTTCAGTAAACTGCGGCCACTTGCAGTTGAAACGACTGTGGTAAGTAAATTCTTATAGATCTCGTATCTCATTTAGAGCTAGCAAGCCGTTTCTAGCGGCTTTATTTTTGGTGCAGAAACTCGAGGTCAATATTTACACTCAACACGAAATTAGCAGCGTTGTCTTTTTCAGCTACTTGCGTGCAATCAAATGCAGTGTTAATCTACTTAGTTCTTTTTTATAACCATCGAATTGAAAAGTGTTTTTCAAAAGATATTAAGAGCTTCCCGTAATGTGCCCCTCATAAAAGAAGCTAAGTATGCAAAGACGTTTGTGTGCCCACACTCGCGGCTAGTTTGTTGCAGCGTTCCAACGTGCGAAACTACCCTGCACGTTTCGGTGTCTCAGCGACGCACTTTTGTAATGCCGCCAAAAATTTTTTAACACAGGAAACGGTAAAGGATGTGCTTTATAATAGTGTTTATTTCATGTTGAAACTCTGTGTACCAATTAGGTTTTTTCGATGGTGAAGTTAGGTCAAATTTGCCATTTTTGAAGAGAGCCGAAATCGTGTTTCTTCTTGCGACCGAAACAGTCACATTTAAATAGCTTATCTGAAGATAATTGCTGAATTATAAAGTACAAGTTTGTGTTTGCTTTGTGACTTGATTTCATTGAGAGATATCATCCCCTTTTTATGTACCAGCGCGAAGAAAATGCCTGATTTTCGCTAATTTCATACTCGAAAGACCGCCGATTTAGCGTTTTTTAAACTTTGCCCGATTCAGGAAAAAATAAAAAGCCGTTACAAGTTTTAATGTGATTTTTGAAATAAGTGTACTATAGAGATTATTTGGGCAAAATATGAAGAAATTCAAAAATTCACGACTGTCAATCGATTTTCGAAAAATACAGACATTGGGCGCTTTCCATTTAGTCAAAATTTCCGGAATTTCCGGTTCGGCGGTAAATGGAACACGTTTCGTCGGTTCGTCCCACTGGAAAATTCCCAGAAAAAGTGGAAAATCTAAAAAGGTGGTCCCGTTTTCCCGGTTGGAATTTCCGAACGGAATGTCGTGTTCCATTGACGTTTCTTGTAGTTTGTACCAGTTCCAGGTCCACGGTCGGGCACCCGGCCACGTACCGGGGTTTACGACCAAATGGAACAACTTTTTACCAATCGGAAATTCCAGTTTTGCTACCACCGAAATTTCCGGGTTTTTTTCGTAAATGGAAAGCGCCCATTGGCTCTTAAGCATTTTAAGCAAAGCTCAAAATCAATCTATTATTCAGCTGTTCTTGAATGTTTCCACTTACAATTTTAAGCCATTTAATTTGACAATTGTTAGCTATTGTCCTATCTCCACCTGGCCTCCCACACAGACGCTTTTAAGGGAGTCGTGGGAAGGGAGAGAATACGACTCCCCTTAAAACGCCTGCTCCGAGGGAAACTAAACTTTACGACGTTGAAAATAAATCCTCCCGATTCGCACTTAAGCCAGCCTTATCTAGTGTTGTGAAGTATTTTGAAAGGTATTTTTAAGACCGATCTATCTTATCTTTTAAGTCTTGTTTTGTCCACGTACTGTTTTCCTGTTTTGATCTTTTGTTTTTACTTGTACTTGAATTTATGCTTAGCTTGCGATATTAGGAATGTTATTCGCTTGGCATTGTCAGATGTTAGTTTTTTTTACAGGTTGTCGTGTTTGTGGTGTTAGGGCTGACCTTGGTTCTTTGGTACTTGTCTTGCGACTGTGCGAAGGCTTATCTATTCCCTAACAAGGGCAAACCTGCTGCAATGTTAGCGATAAGATACATGTATACAATAGAAACTCTTCCGGTCAGCTAACCCAAACATGTCCAGCTTTGGCTATAAAACCACTACTATACTTGAGCTAGTAAGTAGAAGCAAGTAGAGAAGAGTAGAAAAGTAGAAAAGAGTTACAAGAGTAGGAAGATTAAGATTGTTAGCAGAAGTCAAAGAAGAATAAAGGCCAAGATGTAAGTCAGATTCCTGGTACCTCATCTTGTAGCGAGCGAGTTGCTCGAACACACTCCCTCACTAGTTTGAAAATCAGTTTGAAATTGACGTTAGAAAAAGATTTCTTTACGTGTCAGAGGTAATTTTGTTCTAAAACCTTCGACCTTTTTGACGGAAAAATGGAGCTTCCACATTTAATGTTATAGCGCGGAAAACGCAGTAATAACATGTGTAATATTGTTTTTGAGTGGGGTATGTGTCACGGCTAAATACATGGATGTCATATTGGAGCTGCAGATGAAAAAAATCAAAAAAAAAAAAGATAATAATAAGAGATATATTTTTCCTAGTATCGTCATAAAAAAGTCATAAATTCGTAAGAAAAGAATTGATTAGTTAGAGAAGTTACCACTTACCATTTATACTGAAGCCTTATGGTAAGAAGCTATTTAATCTGATTTTATATTTTGTCTAATGAATAAACATAATTTAGCTGGTTTGCTTTGTGACTGTTTCTCTATCATTCGCCGCTCAGCCAGTTTGGTGACAGGTATGGTTTAGGTTTCTGTCACTAGCTTGGCCTCCCAATTAACAATCTCGGGGCTGGAGGCAATTTCATTGAGATCGTTCTCCATTCCTTTTCAAGACATCGAACCGGAAAAACTGTAGCCTGCTAATACAGCCTTTCCTCCTAGCTCCTCTCCGCCAGGGACGTTTTGCCAGGGGGACGTTTCTCCCGGCGAAACGTCCTTAGTGGCGAGGAGCAAGGAGAAACGGCTGTATTCGCAGGGTAGAAAAACTGTTAACCCTGATGTCATTTCCACTCAAAACCTACCTTAAGAACAGACAAGACGCGTACATACTAGTACATACTAGGCATGTATTGGGCTGTAGTAGTGGTCTAATATTTTTTATGCTGACCATGAGTCTTTAGCTACTCCTTTACCGAGAAACAGTAGTCCGAAAAATAAAGAGACAAAGAATGAGACAAACATGGTTTAAAACTTAAAACCACTTTTGTCCAATTTCATTAAATGGTTAAAATCATTGTCAAAAACGGGGACGTTGGAACATTTTCCAAGAGAAGTAGGTAGACGGACCTGTGGGGAATTAAGATGAAAATCATAATACATGAAACTATTCGCTTAACAAAAAAATGCTCTTGTTCGATTCTAGGAACAGTGCAATGCATAAACTTCAAACGGTGGAGAATGTTTGGACACTTTAGAATGAATTCGTAACTGTTGAAGAATATAGGTTTATTGCCTTAAATAATTATTCAGATGTTACTTCGCGCTAATTTTGGGTTAGTTTGTTGGTACAGTGCTTTTTGAGATAAATAACAGAAGCCCAAAATTGGCTAAGCATTAAGGTCCATTAAAAAGCTTTCCCAGAAGAGTGTTCGGTTGATGGGTTTCCTAGGCTTCGTAGCGCTGCTATGGAATATTCGCCACACAATTAAATCTACTTTCTTAGGTGTGTTGGTGAATTTACCACCAGTTTATGAGGGACTCTCCCTAAAACCGGCCCACTGCGTTTCGGGTCGGAAAATCAATTTTCTTTAAACTTTGCCCATGAATATATCTTTGTCCGAAAGTAATTGAAACCGCATTTATTTAGTGTTTGGAAATATTTCAGAATAAAATTTTTCGGGAGGAAAATCATTTCAGCGCCCGGCGGCCAAGTTTTTGCAGTGACAAAGAATAAAAATAACGCATATTGTCGAGTTTACCACTTTCAACGAATTTTTCACTTCCGAGGATTAAATTGGTCCTTAAATGATTTAAAAAACAATTTTGGTCCTTCAAAAGGAACTGATATCCACTAAATATTTTTTGATTTACACTCACTTTACCTTAGGCGGGAAGGGCTCAAAAATTTCATCCTAGCACTGTGCAAAATTCCCACATCTTCCAATCAAAATATCTTTTCAGAACAACAAAGGGAATGTCCAGAAACATAGAAACATAAAAATATATTGTGATTTAAGCGATTTATCTATTTTCTATTAAGCCTGTTTACAATACACGATAGAAGGTCTCAATGCAAAACCGCAATAACACCATAATTCATTAATGTACATCAAGTATTTTCAACTTTTTGTGACTTCTAACGCAATAAAACATCATTTAAGAAAAAAAAACTCTTTAAGCCAAACACATTAATACTACAGGTGTACCTGTTTACAGCGGTAAATCCGCCGACCGAGTCGTCTTCGCTGTGTACAAAAAACTGATATCGCATGATGGCGCTTGTCAAGCATTCCTTTATCTGGAATCGTTACGCCGCGAAAACATTTTTTACTAGTCTGACTAAACTTGAAAGGCAGGAAATTATCTTACCAATAGAGTATTCTATTATATTTGTTACCGTTTTCGTTGACAAGCTACAAAATCAAGAATCATGCATGCATAAGCGCCTAGTGCATTAACAATGGCAACTTTTTAGTTTTCCAGGACTAGGCTCCTGTCCATTCAGTTTAGCATCTATAAAACAGTTGGTTGTCGCTATGAGCTGTCACTTTGTCTTGTTTTATGTTTGTCGTTTATGTTTGCATTTATTATTATTTTTTAAAAATATTTCATATTTCTGGTAGCCCGTGGTATTAAACCGATGAGTACCTGTTTTCAGGTCTCATAACGCTCCCTTACGTTCTAATTCGCTTCGCTCAAACGAACGTAAATTATTTACCGCTTAAATAACCGCAAACACTAGGCGAAATCAGATATGGGTGGATCGCGTGCGAACCCTAACACTTTAATGAAAAGTAATCTTACAGCATTGGTAAAGGAAAAACAGATAACATTTTTAAATATGAGTTAAATACCTAAATGTTTCGTCACACTTAAACGATTACATTCTGTCTCTAAAACGTACATGTCTTTTGCTTCGTCTGTTTTCCACCGCCCATGAAGTTTTAACAACCTCTCAGAAACGGCTTTGGAAGCGTTATTACTGATAACTGCTGTAGCACCCCCTGAACGCAGACTATGTAGGCCATATTCCTTGGGGTCATAGCCCAAATCTTTCAAAGTAGTCTTAAATATTTCCCTGCAGCGAGTATAGGATAACTTGTCATTCCTAAGGGTATATCCCGACTTGTTCTTCGTTAATGGCCTGAATAAAGGCAAGTGACTAGACAGATCCAAATTGGCTGCTTCAATATACCTACGTAAGATAGCTACTGGGCAGTATTTGTTCTCTAACTTAGCAATATAAACATAATTGCCCTCTCTATATACATCCGTTTTACTCCTTGGCACAAAAATTTTAACAAAACCATCGCAAAACGTGAGGTGTTTTGGCTGAATATTAGCCAACTCGTTAAAACGAAAAAATCCTGCAAAACCTAAAGAACTTATTGCGGCAATACGTAAGTCCTTTAAAGATGCTTCCTCAGCGCCATGTCTGTCAATAATGCTTCTAATGATAGCAGGGTCCACGGGTTTTTTCTTGTGAACTGGATTGCTCCTTGTCCTCTTGGCGCACTCAATCAAGTTCTTGCAACAAGCGTTATCCAAAGGATTGGGACCATCATCAGGAACAAAGGAATGGAACCATTTCAGCGCACCATGGACCAAAACCTTTGCGGCCGGGGACCTAAGCTGTTGATCTAATCCAAATAGATAAAGGGCGACAACAGAAGAAGAAAATGGCAACTGTAGCGCAATTTTCCGAGTCCTACACCACAGTAAAAACTTGTTTATTTCCTTAAGATACTTCTTCGCAGTAGAGTCTGCCCTAGAACAAAGTAAACTACTAAATAAAGAATGAAAATCCGGCCTAATAGCAGGAGGGAGCACCATCCATGCCTTACTTGCAACTACGACCTGCAAGAAAAAATTATATCACCAAAATTTTGCAACAACAGGATAGCGGCTTTAGGAAATGCAACACAAGCGATGATAGCGATTCTAATAAAAGGCCCCATGCCTATGACGCAATGTCCGCAGGCAGCATAATAGAAAGAAACCACAGCGACCTCCCTGGGGCAAAATAGGCATGCAAAGTAGCTCCTAAACAAAGCCATAGCGAAAAACCTACAAAGAAAACTAATAACAAACGCGTAAAAACTGCATATATATCCTAAAGGCGACTTGCTCTAGCAGATCATTTAAATCCCCCAAAAAGGCCCCATAAACGACAGGCAAACGAATATAAAATAGGCAACACCCTATCTGGGACACAGTCACCTCGAACACCTAAATAACCTAACAATCGGAAAAACAAAAAGTTACAGCCTTGATAAGAAAGGTAAGTAACCTAAACCAACAAGAATAACGCAGCTCAACCTTGTGAAAAAACCTTGGCCAGAATAGCAGGTTGAGTTACGATTCGCAAACCAGTGTCAAAAAAAAAAAGCGACACAATTTTCATACGTGAACAGGTCTCTCATTGTCGAGAGAACTCGAAAACTCGTTCTACTAACAGAAATCCAAAACGACAGAAATCTTCTCCGACGGACGCAGTCGTCCCTTCACATGACCCGTGTCATATACTCTGGACACAGCTGTCCATGCTATTAATGACCAGTGTCAAATCTTGCAAATACCAGTACTAAAAGCTAGTTCAGAATGACCTACTCGAAGGGCAATAAAAGTTGGATAATCCTTACAAAAATTCAAATCTAAGCGCGACAACCTCGCCTGTAAAACGAGGCGAACCAAGGAATGAACTTAAATTTCTTCCCAGGGTGAGAGCTCGGAATGCATTCAGCGTAAAACATCCTTTCATGAACAACCGATATTTACTAGTCAGAAGAGGCCAAAAACTCGACGAAGGCCATAATGGGACTACAAGAGTAGCCATTGCTTTCTGTAGGCTCAAATAATGGATAACGCGGGCGACAAGAGAAACTGGAGGAACCACTAAACAGTTCTCGGAACTTAACTCTTGGGCAAAGAAGTCAATTCCTGACGTACCCGGATTCCAGAAACGCGAAAAGAATCTAGGAAGCTTAGCTGTATAATAATTGGCAAGACAGTCAACTGTATGTGGGCCCCATAACTCCTCCATACTTAGAAAAAGATCATGCGTGATTTGCCAATCGTCAAAATCTATAAGGCGACTGATATAATCCGCCTTCTCGTTCTCAGTTCGTGGGATCCACTGCACCTCCAAACGAATAGAGTGCTCCGCGCAAAACTGAAAAATTTTAATAGCAAGCCTGTGCAAATCCAATTTCATGCTACCGACTTCTATAATTCTAGCCGCCGCCTGGCTATCAGTGAACCACTTGACCAGTGAACCTTCCAAAATTGGCGCAAAAGACTCTAGCGAAAAATCAATGGCTGCAAGTTCTCTCCAAGTAGAGCTCTTAGAACATTCTGAAGGCTCCCAAAGCTTGTGACACACACGATCCTCATTAAGGGTAATAACTGAACCGCACCCTGTAGCGCTGGCATCGGAGTAAGCGAAACGTTGTGGCTTATTAAAGAGAAAACAATCGCGCACTTTGATGGAATTTAGGTTGTTTCTCCAAAAATATAGCTCCTCAATACAATAAGAATCCATCTCAACTTTCGCGTCCCAGTGCTGCGCGCTTAATGTAGACATAATGCAGTGCCTACTCATGATCCTAGAAATGTTCCCGGAAACAGGCGCTGTAGAAATTATCTGCCCTGTAAAAGAGGCCAATCTTCTGGCAGAAAGAACAAAATCGGAGTCGATAATACTGTCAATGGTACTAGTTATTTTGGCAACCCTCCTATCCACAATTTCAATGGTTCCACGAGCGCTATCCCAAGTGATACCCAACCAATCAAGCCTCTGGCAAGGTATCCACACTGACTTATCCTCGTTAGTAACGAAACCCGCCTTAAAAAGGTCAGTTCTAACGGCATCCGCTACATTACTGCACACTTGAGAATCCTTTTCAATACCCCATCCGTCGTCAAGAAAAACAGCAACGCAAATGCCTTGATGCCTCCAATGTTTCTCAAGAGGCTTAAGAATTTTTGTGAACACGTGAGGGGCCGACGATAATCCGAAAGGTAAAACTGTAAACACATAGAACTTCACTTGATTGGAACAGGAATGCTTCCAGGAAAAACCAAGATATGTTTGATGGCCCTCAAAAATTTCAACGTGGTGGTACCTGCTTTTAAGGTCAAAGGAAAACATATATGCACCCCGCGAGAAGTAAGACATAGCTGTTTTCCAGTCTTCGTATTTAACATGCATCTTACGAAGAAACTTGTTGACGTATCTTAAATCAAGAATTAGCCTCTTTTTTCCATTAGCTTGAACAGATACGGACAAGGGGTTGACCACCCGGGGCGGTACATTGGTTTCCACCACACGACCCGACTCAACTAAATCTTGAATAGCCTCCTCGACAAACTCGGCATGTGAAAGAGACGATCTGTTGTTTTTGAAAACCGCTGGCTCCGGAAAACTAACGAAAGGTAACACATATCCCCTTTCTATAACGTTAAGAATAAAACTAGGGGCTCCAATATGCTTCCAAAATTCGAAGTTTCTACGAAGATTTCCCTTGACGTTGACACACGGCCGACTAGTACTTAACTCAAACTCAAACAATTCGCTATCGCAATGTACCTGAGCGATATCAGCAACCTCCTCATCAAAAACATTACTGCTTTGCACCAGGTTGAGTGTGGGCTCCGTGACTGGGTCTGTAGGGGCTGTATGAGTATCCTGGGGTGAACGTGGTTCCGCGATAAGCACTTCGTGGGCTATCCCAGGAGGCAGTGCATTCTCTTGCCCAGTGGCCGAGCTTGTGACATTTAAAGCACCTTGCGCGGTCCACGTAAGCATCTCTACCGCCTGAAATCAGATGAAATAAGAGCAGTATCAAAAGCAGATAAAATGAAAAACACACCCGTAGAAACCTGAGAAAAGGGAGGGTGGGTGGGGCCAGATTAAAACGTCCGAAGCAGAAAAACAGCTCTAAAGTGCTAAGGTCGCGAGCGAGAGAGAGAGAACAAACTGAAAACAGCATCTTAAATAGGTAAAACGAACCAATCGGAAGCTACTATAAACGCACTAGGACACCTATAAAGGCGACAAACTGTAAGAAAGAATGTGAAGCTAAAATAACAGTGGAAAATATATTGACTCAGGGTGGGGCTGGGGATGGGGGTGGAGTGTGCTTGCTGGCAGGAGGCCCGCTAGACTGTTCACAGTCCTCTGTTTTATCGTAAAATCGTCGGGATCAAGCGAATTCTCTAACAGGTGGCTATCTTGGTTTCAAATGTACCTGGTTTACCCTGGGGATCACTATGAAATCTACTTTTGGGGCAGCGGATCCAAGAAGGCCCCACATCTGGACGATCTTACGGAAAGATAAGGGACAGTGAACAGTCTAGTGTCCTGCAAGCAAACATCCCCCTCGCTATTATTCTGGAAAAAAAAAATACTGTATCTTTGAAATTAGGTTATCCTACATTTATAACTGGCATGGTGGTTTACCTCGTTTACCACTTGGGTACATGAACGTCCACAACTTTCCATTGCTCTTTTGGAAGCGTGTGTCACAAATTATAAGCTCACTTGTAGTAGCCATATCCAACATAAACTGGCCGTTTCTATTCGTCTTTTTTCCAAAGCTAAACCCATCGAATTCTAGGGGACTGATTTGTGCATTCATATCGCCACATATGATCTTATATCCAAGTAGCTTCTTTATTACTTCAGAGAGGGTGTTGTAGAAGTCTAGAGCATAGTTGTCATCCGAGCAGTTTGTTGAACTGTAGCAGCCTATAATAGTAGTAGCAGGGTTGCCACTGAGGTCTGCCACCAGGATCCTCTAGGTAGTTGTAAGCAGAGGGGCTTAGTAGCATACCCACTACTTCTCCCACGTAACTGTTCACGGAATTCCTCCAATACGAGGAAGTGGCCAAGATCCAGCCTTTGCCGACATCAGTATTCGGCACGTCCCCACTATCATGAATGTCACTAACAGCCGGGGCCAAGGATTTTCCCCGGATGCTACGTGTATAAGCGTGAGCCCCGACTACTCTTATAGGAAACAAAAGGATACTACAATCCAAAGAACTTCCTAGCTGTACAATTCCCCTCGTACTAATTGCATTTACCCGGCAACTTGGACTTTTAGCGACAACACTGATACAGAAAGAAAAACCACCGACATTTGAGACTGCTCACTTAGGAAATGACTAAAGCGAAGACAATGAAGATGATAATGGAAATAGAGATTTCGGAAATAATTCACAGAGTATTTGGGTATGCGGGTACTTGGTGTACTTAATACATTTTGGTGCCATGGGGTCATGAACGTCCCTACCCTACAATGAATAGTTCAGAATCGCCCTTGGCCAAGGCGTAGCACCCTTGAGCCCCCCATGTCAGGGTCACGACACTGTTGCCTGGCAGTCAGGTTTTTGTTTTAGCCACAGGCTAAAGGAGACAACCCCCTACAGAAAACGAGTCCACTGCTGGACGGTCTGGCGCTCCTCCAGCATTGTTTGCTGGATTTGTCTTAGTGAGCCTAGCTATTGAAACAGTGATTTAATGAACACTGCAATTTTCCCTACTTACCGGCTCGGTCGGCGCCCGTATAAACAAGGGCCGCGTCCCTTAAAGCTCCTTTGCCCTGGTGGGCAACCAGGCCGGAGATGATAAGTCAGTTACAGGAAGACTCCTAAGCTGCAAGATAGACAATCTCGTGTCAACGTTTAACATCCGTTCACTCAACTCCAATGAGAAGATTGGAGAGCTAACCGCGCTGGTGTGTATTGGTGTGTTTTTGTGTAGTGTTAGCTAATGTTTGTATAGGTAATCACATGATTTCGAGTGCAATTTGGAATAAATAAGCACGAGTAAATTTTTCAAAGTCCAACAAAAGTGCACGAGCCCGTAGGGCGAGAGCACTTTGTGGTCTTTGAAAAATTTACAAGTGCTTATTTATTCCAAATTGCACGATAAAAATCATGTGATTACTTATTAATAATATACACGAAAAACATAACTACAACAACAAATTTTGACAGCGCGCGCGTTTTTAGTTCATTCAACTGATTGGCTGAAACAGACTACTACCTTTGTCAAATTCAAACTTTTTCAAGACCAACGCTTCCAAAATCATTCATCTAAGAACAGATGTTGTGATGTCGGAAACTGCCAGTATCAATATAATATTTGCTTTTTCTCAACGCTGGAGTTTTCATTATTTCGTTTGGCCTACTGCGAGAGTCATCGTAGCTCTTCTTCGTCGGCTTCATCGTAGTCGTTAAGGAAATTTATACCTCTGTGGCCTGTGACATTGACTATATGTTCTGAACTTACAATCTTTGCTTTCTTCAGCTACCTGACTGTTGTTTTTCTTGCACAATGATTCGTAAACTTTTTTCTCACTTTCTTTACGGCTAATACCAGCTACGGACACTTTCATTATGTGAGTTATGGTATTTTCGCCCATTGGTTTAGTTTGGACCAGATGTTAAAATTTTCGGTTTCGTTTGCTACTGAGGTAGAGAAAAAACAGACCATCGCATGGATGTTTTAATAGAGGTCTTCGCTCCACAAAAGACTCAACAAATAACGTACGTGACTTGAAATCCCTGTTGTTATCATGGAATTGTATCCTTGTTCATTTAAATGCCCGAAGAGTGTAGCTGTCATGGTTTGCGTGTGGTTGCAACCGTTTTTGTTCTTTATTTTTTTTACTTTAGCGTAGTCTGTTATAAGTAACTTATTTTTTAGTTTCTCTGGCTCATTTTCCTCGATTTTGTTAACAGTATTTTTCTCTTAGCAACGGATTTTCAATACATTTAGACAGAAAGACGTACTTTTTACTGTGTTCGGGTTTTTGGAATATTTTTTTAACTTTTCTATTGTTGTTTTGCTTACAAAATTAAATCCCGTCGTCGTCTGCTGAAAACCATGGCCATTTTCTTGAATTTTTGTTGTTAAAACAGCTCTAATCTGATTGGTTCTTGTTGGTTTCTTTTGTGTTTTCAGCCAATCAGAAAGCATTTGTTATTTGCACTCGTGTTACAAGCATTTTGCACTCGTGTTTCAGAAGAGCTGCACTCCTTTCTCAGCCAATCAGAATTGAGTAATTTTTTCGTGTATATTATTAACTAGGAAACTGAACTCAAAGTAACGGCTTGGAAACTAAAATTTCGAGGACGTTTTTGCACTTTTTACATTCAGGGCATGAATTTTTCGTCATTTCAGGCCATGGAACCTAAAAATGAGCCTAGCTAGCTGTAAAAAGGGGCAATACGGAGGAAATGCGTCCTAGCCGGCATGATCACATGCTGTTTACGGAAAATTCTCTCATCCATGTCAGGAAATTCTGTATTTTAAAGCCTCCCCTAGGGCATGACTCAGCAACTAAGGACATTTCTGCTACGTTTTCAATGTTGGTTAGCATGCAAGGATTTTTCCCATGCCTATCGTCAATGATTTGCTCACTGGTAATAGAGGGGGTGGCCCCAGAGTGGTTTTGCATTGAAATTGGCATGCAACAGAATTTCGCATGCCCTGTAAACACAATTTGAGGTTCCGTGACCTTCTCACCCAGGCCGCGAGAAGCCTAGGTTCTAGTAATAAGTAATTTATACCCAGCAAAATCTCCGGCATGCCGGACATGCCACATTCTCTGACATGCCCGGCATGACAAATTCTCTAGCATGCCGGGCGTGCCATAATCTGGGTCATGCCGGGCATGCCAAAATCGGTCTCTGGCATGCTCTCAACGCACAGGTTATAATTCCTTGAATCTACAGATATTTTAAGCCTGGCTAAAAAAAAAAAAAACTAAACAGATCACCGTGCTTATCTTTTGATGTACGGTTACACGATGACGTCATTGCTATTCCATTTGGTTGTCCCAGCGAAGTTTAAATAACAAAAGCTCTAATTTTCACAAGAAAGTAAAGCCCTGAGGGATTCTGCCGTAGTGATAAAACAGCGTCATCGTGGAGATGACCTGTTGGGGGATTGTAAAAACTCCTGACCCCTTTTAATGAGTCTTTAAAAGGATTCCCATTTCACATTGCGAATAAAATGGAATTGACTGAAATCAGTAAAAAGAGAGACAGACACTATTTTCATTGTATAATAAAATGCATCTATGTTCCATGAAAGCTTTTAAAAATACAAGGTTATAGAATATCTTTCAAAGTTCATTACAAACTGAGCTAAGCCCCAAAATCATTGGTCATTATTCAGTAAATTATGATGTTTGACAATGCAATGTGCTTGAATATAACGTTGCAATTACAAATCTCTCTAAAGCAAATTTCCCTACGTTAGAAAAGCTGTTTTTATCTTGTTTCACATTTTGATAAGGAGTCTGAGTTCCTCTTTCTTGTTTTGTAGGCTTGCCTGGGATTAATGTTTTTGTGTCATTACCAGTGTCTGTGTTCTCTGTTTTTAACTCAAAGTAAGTCAGTAATAACTGACCGTATCAAAGAATTGCTCTCTAGAAAAGTAATTATCTCCTCGTCATGTCTGGAAGTTACCTGTAACAAAAAAGAAATGGAATGTTAACACATCCAAGGGCAATATGAGAAAAAAGAAAAAGAACATGTTGAGCTCAGCTTCTCTTAACATATTTACATACTGGCTTGTTGAGTCTGTTAAAGGTCGCAACTAATTGTCTGAGGCTAATTTCACAAGAGTGTGCAATTGAGATAAATGCATGGTAACTAAAGTGAAAGAAACGTGGTTTCACATTAGCCAATTTACATTGCGTTGTTCGATGATGTTTACACGCTCTTCTACTGCGAAATAAACCTTTGCATTTGGATTTGCAAGTCAAGATTATACCGAGTTTGACTGGCTTAATTGAACAACAGTTTCATTTTTAAGCAGGTAAGGTGTAGACCCATATAAAGCCGAAATATGTAAAGGAAACTCAGCGAAAACGTTTTCGCATCTTTTTGTGGCGATATTCTCTCACGGCCCGTCAACTGATTAGGGGATGCGAAGAAAAAATAAATTAGGACCAACGGTTAAAGCCTGTCCGGTTACACCATTTGGTATGTTACCTAGAGTTCTAATAAATAGGTCATAAAATAGGATTTAACGAGAGCGAATTTGTTTCTCAATCGGTGTATAAAAAAGTGAAGCTATCAAATGAGAAGTTTATAGAGTATCAAAATTATTAAAGTAAAAGCTCATATAATTAGGAAAATTCCTATACGGAAACAATGCTAGTGACATTAAATTGATCAGATAAAATTCTGAGAAAATTTGTCGAATAAAAGCGTCATTGTTTGCTTTTGTTTTTGCGTAAAGGTAAATTTTTCGGCCCACAAAGCAAAGTTGAAAAAGCGACTAAATCTTAGTTTTTTACATTGAACATGTTTATTAGCTTAGTTTTCGTCCGTTTTAAAAGCTTTATAACCCAGTCATAATTTTCGGGTTAAAATAGTAAAAACTCATTTCAAAAACCATGTTCATTTAAAGTAGAGCCAGCAAACGTGAACATTTTGTAATTCAAAAGTCGGACCCAGCCAGGTTGTTTAAGCTTAGAATTATTTGTATTTTAGCGTCCTATAAATTTACCAGAATCGCCTCTCAGAGGCTTACTGTAGCAGAGCATTTTGTAGTACACTCGTAGACAAGCAATGTAAGCCTTAAGTCTTTGCTTGGATGAGATGTCCAAAAGAAAAATTAGTTTTGTGGACCTAAACACACATTCACAGACTGCTTATATTGAGTTGTTTACAACTTTGCATTGACACCTGCAGCATGTTCATTTTATATAAAGCGAAATCCAAATCTGATTTTGGCATTTGATTTACGGATATTTTATTTTGTCTCCAAAACTGATTGTAATATCCGTTTGATTGTCTTTCGAACAACAGTCAAACTATGCAGCAAAAATAAGTAACTTTACCGGTACAGTGAAAAAATATGACCGTAGGTGCCAAAAATAATTATACTCGAGCTATAAAATTAGATTTGACTTTTTTTAGCTTTGGTTTCTTTATTTTTGAGGTTTTCTCTAGTCTTCTTAGCAGCAGAAGAAGATTACAAGACATACAATCAGAAACAATCCGAAGTGAACGAGTTAACAACCACTTATGACACTTATGCCGGACCTCTTAATAGGCATGCTCAACAGTAAGATAAACTGAATGCCAAAAGACTAATTCACGGGATTTGGTCGATATTCAGGCTTTTTCTTTACCAAATTAATACTAAATTTGTACTTACAGTCTCTCGCAGAATCCATTTCTTGTCCAGCTTTCACCAACATCTCAACCATGCACCGCAGAAAAAAAAGACAAACAAATGCGAAGAGACATGACGACATCGTGACGCCACAACTGCCACGCTACAACAAACTAGATTCATCGTCATCCGAAAACACTTCTGCGGAAATTCGGCCGATTTCGTGCGTGCTCGGGGTATCTTCGGATGACGTAGATGACGTTGCTCAAAGGACTATCGTCAGCAAGGACTAAAACAGTTTGCGAGATTCGCATAGCCGACAAGAAGCGCACTGAAAAACTAAGCAAAATCTCTCTGAGAAGGCAGTCCAAATTCACCAGATCCGAACGTCTTTGCAGTATTAACGTCGTACTCTCGTACTGACTTGACCGACCTGGTAAGCTTAATTTTCATCAGTCTTTTATGCTGTTGACCAGGAAACATTCCGACGCGATAAAACTTAAGCATGGATAAGTTTATACTGAGAAGATTTGTTATCTTATTGTTTAAGACGCTTTTCCGCGATCAAATTTAAATATGGACCCAGAAATGTCAGTATCGGTTTGAAATAAAAGGATTAATCTTTGATTGCAAGTTAAGTACTCTATTTTATGCATGAATAATGTTGTTTTGTTGTGCTTTTTATTTATAAATCCAGGCTTCTGTCTTCAGTTTTGCCAGTCGATCCCGTGACACACGTGACAAACATGACTTTTTTTTATTATAATCTGCATTTATTGCCAGGCATGAAACCTGTAACTTCAAGATCCCTAAGATATATTTGGCGATTATATGTGATTCTCAGGATATGATGCTGAAGTGAACATCAAAATCAGTCTCGCTGGGCATGCCAATTTCTTGCCTGGCATGCCGGACATGCCAAACCAACTGGCTTCACCATCGGCATGCCCGGCATGCCAAACCAGAGGAGCAAAAACTGGGAATGAATTATCAACCCGGCGAGAGATCTGGGACCTAAGATTAGCTGGGTCAATTTTGGGCTGCGAGGGCATGAACCCTTTTTTTCCATGCCTATGAGATGTTATTTCTAAGTACCAATGTTCCCTTGAGTTTTGACATGCCTAAATATATAAAATTTTCCCTCTCTCATTAATCCTCAGACTGGATGCGATTTTTGCGCTCGCTAGGCATGTTCAACTGAAAATCATGCCCATACCCTTATTCAAAACAAAATGCTATCAAATTTTAGTTTTCAAGCCGTTAAGTAGACGAATGGCTCAAATCAGTGGCTTTGGCTGGGAAGTGTCAAACTCTCATACATGTGATATGTTCAATTAGCCAATCAGACTGTTTTGGCTTTATATTTTTGCTACTTAGTCACTGAATCTTTCCTTTTTTATCAACATACTTTATAGTCACTGTCAGAAGTATATGCTTCTGTCACTGTATATGTGAATGCACCTTGTCTGTATTTGAAAACAAAAGGTCACTGCTTCTACACACGTAGGAGCAAATGGACATGACGCCGTTCAATGTACTTTTCTGACAGCTGAGCTCATACCATTCCTCTATTTGTCAGGTCTGGTGTTCTGCCTCTGAATATGCTGTACTTTAAATATTCGGCTATCCTAATGTACGATATGACCTTTGTTTGACGGTGGTGTCAGAACAAAAAAAATGCATAACCCTTTCTCTACTGGCAATTTTTGCAAGAAAGAAAACAGAAATAACCATTTTTGAGCCCTGCCTGGAGTTGTTTGGTCACGATTTCCAATGTTTATAGAGAAATCCTCCAAAGAAAGTCTAATTCCTGCTTGAATAAAGTTAGGGGACTCACAATTTGAAACTAAAACGGGTTGGAGTAATAGGGCTTTGAAATTACCATTTACTTGTCACCACTGCAACCAGAAGTTGAATGCAAAGATGTGTAAGCTACAATAAAGGACCCTTACTTCGCTGGTGATAGACACCAATGAATGGTTTCTGTCCCAGCTATCTGCATTTCGAATAACTAAGGAAATTATAATAAAAACAGACCACGACGTTCCATGCTTGGAAAGCAACATTATTTAAAATTTTTTTACTTTTGTTTTTCTTGTCATGCAAGAGATATTATGCATAAAGCTGGTTACCAAAATTAATGGTCTAGCGTCCGAAATTTTCCCGTTATTAGTCACCAGTTGGCCCTTTAAAGAAAAAGTTAATTTCAAACCCTGGGTAACCAGTAGCATAATGTCAAGCAGTTTTTTCCAGTTCACCCAGATTTGGCATTTCTGGAACGGTGTCTGAATCCAAATAAGGCACAAATGAGTTTCGTGTGAGGCTGGAACCAACAAATGGGGAAAAAACGAGAGACAGAGAAGGCATCGTCCTCAATTTTCAGTTGGGATTTCTGAAAAATGACCTTACCATTAGCTTACCATCTGGAATTTTCAGTATTTTTTGATAAATGGTACGCGACCTTGAGTGGCCTATCTATTTCTATGTTCTTTGTGCAACGTCAGCGTCACGCACACATGGTCGAAGTTACAAGAACGCTTTTGTACGACGCGCTTGTCTGCAGTGTTGATTCCAGGTGTTCTTTTTGTAAGATATATTTTTTTCTTTTCTTGAGCTGTTTTTAGTCACTCTATTGCATGGAAAAGTTTTTTTCTTCCTTTAAAGAGAGGGGAAATTTTTAAAGAAAATCAACAACTGAAAGGGACCATGAAAAACAGCCCTAAGTGACTCATTTCCAACGATTAGATTCTCATTCCAAATTGTTTTTTTAATTGCTTGTGACACAAAGAGAAAATTTGACTTAGCATTGAGAGTCATAATACTACAAATTTTTCCACGTAAGTACTGAAACGTTTTTATAACTCTAGCCCGAATTTATCCGTTTCACACGTGCTGCACCAGTGGATTATTTAAGTTATTCCCAAACAATCAAACTGATGACAACACAGGCTTAGCTAGGACAGCTGTTCCTTGTGGCCAATTTAAGCTGGTTTAGTAGTGGATAGCTACTAATTCAGTACAAGTACTGAGACATGAACTACCCTTTTAGCATTTGAAGGCAGCCTTTGTAACATTTCACAGATAGCAAAGGATGACACACCACCTTCTTCCCAAGCCAGAAGCTTGCAACTCAAGCTTTTGAGATTTGCAAGGAATAGTATCTTGCTTATCTCTTTGAGTTTAGAGTAAGGGCGTGGTTGACATCCGCGCTTTGGTAGCCTTTAGGGTTTTTGCACACGTGAAAGTGATGAAATAGTACATGCCGTATATTTCGGAAAAGGTTTCTGAAATCTGCCATATCAATTACTCTCACATTCCGATCTGAAAGATGAGTAGGATTATGCGATCTCCCACTACTGCTTGAAGGTCTACTGACTGTTGAAGACGAGGAATAATTTACATTTTCTCCCTTTCCCCTCCCCCATCTCCTTCTTTCGCCCTAGCACCTACTCTAAGGGTTACTATTTTTACTCTCCGTTATCTTCCTTCGTCATAACTTCAAAGATGGCGGTTACAACAATACGAACTTAAACAAGAAGCATTCGCCCCCCCAAAAATACACCTGTACTGCAGGCTACTAGGAGATCGGATATTGTGGTTGTGGGAAGGAGGATAGGGTCTGTCAGGAACCTATGATGAAGATGATGGGCTCCTGAGTCGGCTCCTGAGTCGACTGCAGAGTTACATATAGGAAAGTCAATTAACTCAAAGAAAACTGAAAAAAAACCAACATCTCAAGCGTAAGATTTGATTATATACTATTTTGACGGATGGGCTATTAACGGTGGATTAGGGAATAACCATTAGGTGGAAACGTTACGCGAAGGGGAAAAACAACCACGCAAGGAAGTGTCTTCCCCCAATTTTTGTAAAAAGATACCCTTTAATCACACTCAACAGCTCTGACCCACTTCCCAAACTGTGCGAAACTCGGTCTCTCAAATGAAAATGATTTAGTTTCCTGAAACAAATAATTTTAGAACAGATGCTGCTGATCTGACCTTAAAAGCAGATTTTCGAAAGCTCGCATTAGCCTGTTTTTAATCATATTATGAACTTGAAACCAGCTGAAAATAGTTTTACGTTGTTGATTTAGTTTCTTTCTTCCTTCCATTTTATCCTATTATGGTTTCTAACCCGATCTCACTGTTGGACTTTCCCCGGAGACACGCATTACTTGTAAATTTGTATCAAAAAAACACAGTAAGGAAGTTTCAAAAATAGCAGAAAAAAGCTGACACGATACCCAATCCTTCAATCCTGGTATCGTATATCCGCTTAATTTGAATACAGCTTCTTTTGATGATGATGATGATGATGATAATGCTGATCATTATTATTATTGTTATCATCATCATTTTATTAGTAGTACAAGTATCATCATCATCATCATCATCTTTCTTTTGCGTAAGCGAGTGTTTTTTTAACAGGTGTTTGGCTGTTTGATATCCATTTTGTTTCTCTGGGCAAGCCGTTTATCCGTTCACGGCCATCAAACCGTCGAGCCGTTGTTCTTCTTTCTTTCTTTTATTTATTTATTTATTTTGTCATCTTTCACTCAATCCTTTCTCTTTTTTTATCCGTTTTCTTTTATGTTCAGTTGCCGTGCGTCGCGTGAGAGGTAACAAAATAAAATGATATTACTTCGCAACAAAATATACTTAAGAAATTGTCACAAATATCTTTGCCCACGGAATTAACGTCATCAGAAGACGGGGGCAGATAAAGAAAGAACTATTTTTTGTTGGTAGTGTATGGGAAAATATTTGCGTAAACACTGATATTGGTGTTAAATGACAATAACTACGTGGTTGGAGTTATTGACTTAGGGCCATCTCTTGTTTTAAAAAGTGGTACTGTTGTAGCGAATCAACGACGGGTGACATAATTACTTGTCAACGAATCACTGAAATACCGAATTGCAGTGCTTTTAATAGTCTGTTTTGACAGTAAGCCGGAGGCTAACAACTACATTGAGACCTAAACAACTGAAGGCTTTTTCAACCAAGGACAAACCTTTTAAGAAGGCTAATCAAGGTAAAGGGCCGCAACTCTAACAAGGATGGTAGGCTTTCCAGTACTTCCCAGATGCTATGTCTTCGCATTGGGGATCTTTGCTGCTTTTCCAAGTCATTCTAGAGGTAAAACTTTACCTTGTATTGCACACTATGTTTTTTAATAGCCAAGTTCATTTGGAACATTTTTCAAGCTCATTCTTCAAGCTTACATCTTTGTGTCCTCGTTTCTCTTGGAAAGCTTTCAGCCAAGGATCGATTGGTGGCCTGTTTTATGTCAACTTCATGATCGATCAATTTTCCTACTTGAATGTCACAAGTATTGGACGGAATCTTATTCAAGACGAAAACGATTGTGGCTACGCCTGTCTAGAAATTCCATCGTGTTTTTCTTACAACGTGGCTGCCTTCCCTGATGTCAACGACAAACGTCTCTGCGAACTCCTGCCATCGGACAAGTTTAACAACTCAGACAAGTTCAACGCCAGTAAAGAGTTTCATCATTTCTTTATTCCGGTGAGTCAAACGTCTAAATGATTAAAAGTGTTTCGTTCTATAACCCTTTCGCTGCCAATTGTGGCAAAATGCGACAAGAATTTCCAAATTTCGTTTTTTAAAATGCTGAAAAAACGATTAGCACCATGTGAAAGTACAGGCAGAGAGGTTTCATTTGAATGGTAACTTCAGAGAATTTTGTCCACAGGTTACAAAACTCCATCATTCCCTCTGACAGTTAGAGAGTTTTAAGAATAAATGCTCAATAATCCTCTCCCCTTATCGGGCTTTTCAGGGTTAATGAAACAAATGCTAATAAATAAATTCAAAGGAAACTTAACATGTTTAAGAATCCCAACTGGTAGGATGCGATTTAAAAAAAAATGGGCTAAGCATTTAAACACTGGACTAACGAGAACAATCAAGCAAGTAGACAGGGTGATACTTGAACTTAGGGCCTCCGGATTACACGTCCAGCGCTCTTAAACCACTCAGTCACGCTTCCTTCTCCGTTTCATGGGAATACTGTGTAGATACTATTCACATTTCTCTGCATAGCTAGTTATGGGCTTCGGATGATCGAATTCTGGAAGGGGGGAGGTATTCAGAATTCTCTTTACTTCGAATACGAAAAAAAAAAACAAAACAAAACAAGAGAGTGAGTTCTTTGGAACTATATGTTTCTAAAAGACACCTTAGTAATTTCTATTTGTAACATTAACGCTAGCGAAATGTTACACCTGCGAACTGCCAGCTTCCAATGACCAGCCATGCTTCTTCAGTTCGTTAAACAGAAATTTGGATGATCCGATTACGTTTATTAGGCAGACTGGTTCAAACTTGATTTCAGTAACGAGGTATTTTGAAGAATCAGTACCGAGTCTGAAGTTTGCGGAATTTTGCTTTAAGAATAAACCCGAGGCTGAAATTTTGATGGCACATGGAGACTTGATTGTTTAATATTTTCGATTGTGAAGTAAAAGTAAGTCTTGAATTCTGCCTCCATTTCTACATATAAAACCTTCAGTTGTTTATAAACCACGTAAAATCTCTACACGGTTGTTGAATAAATTCAGCTGGACATGTAAATGAGATCCTTGCTAAGTGATGTAAAACAGGTTGTTTGTTGTTCTTAATCGAGGAAATGTCATTAAGAGTTTGCCTGTGCCAATCGCAGGATGTTGTTATGGCAAAGCAAATTAAAAACCACAATCGCCACGAGAAATTATGAAACCTCTCGTATTTCGTCTTTTTTATAGCAGTTTTCCTTAAAAAATAACCCTATTTCTAGCATTGAAACTTTCCGACTTTATTTTATTGTTAGTTTTTAAGCTCAGCTATCTTTCACTAGCAAAGCGACGCCGTACTACAATCTGTAACAGCCATGAGCATTAAATTTTAACAGTTTTATAACAGGTGACCACTTTTTTGTAAGAACCAATACACGAAATGATTACCTAAAAATATGAAATGCTTGGCCTTTAAATGAATTCTCTAGGTTAATTCAGTAACGAAATGTTTAGCGATCAGTCTAGAGAGAATTTGCATCGTGGATATCAGGGCTTTTAAAAATGATTGATCCTTAAACCTAGACTAGAACCAAATAAAGGTTTGTACAAATCGTGACATGTATGCGTTTCCTAGTCGTTCCATGTAAGGGTGTCCGGATTCCGAAATCCGGGAAATTTTTGCTTGTGGAATCCGGACTCCAAGAAGAAGTTCCTTGTGGAATCCGGAATTCTGGGCTTTGGAATCCGGAATACCGCTCCAGAAATCTGAAATCTCACTAACGATTGGAATCCAGGGCCCGGTTGCATAAAACGTCCGTAACAACTACCGGTACACGTACGTGCACTCGTAACATAAGTCAGTTGCATGAAATCACTTAAGTGGTCCACTTAGGGAATTCACTTAAGTGGTTGCACTTACGATTTTCGTAAGTGTTCACTTAAATGTCGTTTATGCAACAGAAATTGCGGGTGTTGCATAAAACCTTTTTTACGCGAAAAATAGCACGTATATTTACGGGACCTATGTAGGTCCCGTATCGTTACTGTTTTTACTAAATTTAACGAAATCTTTTACTGAGAGGTGAAAAAAAGTATTTTTCTTCACATAATTCGTTCACCATTGGTGAATGTAAAGAAAGTGTCTAGTCGTTTCGAACACTTGTAAGTCTCTCATTGAAATAAAACTTGCATGCAATCGTTATTTGACTTCAATATCTACGGAATTGTCTTGATTGTTTCTTCTTTTTTCTCAACGACGGCTTTAAGTGTACATCGGAGGTTAATAAAGTGCATAAGAACGAATTACGTAAAGAAAAAGCTTTTTTTCACTTGTCAGTAATAGATCTCTTTAATTTTAGTAAAAACAGTAACGATACGGGATCTACATAGGTTCCGTAAATTTACATGCTATTTTTCCCGTAAAAAAAGATTTTATGCAACACCCGCAATTTCTGTTGCATAAGCGACACTTAAGTGAACAATTACGAAGATCGTAATTGCAGCCACTTAAGTGAATTCCCTAAGTGGACCACTTAAGTGATTTAATGCAACTCACTTAAGTTACGAGTGCACGTACGTATACCCGTAGTTGTTACAGGCGTTTTATGCAACCGGGCCCAGAATAGAAGTTCCACTGACAAAGACTGGAACCCAGTACCAAGACTGTCCTGGATTCCCTAGTCTGCGTCGCAGACGTAATTTAACCCTGGTTAGTAAGGTCTGCAAAGCAGCGCCGATATCCTTATTCTGGGCTCCCAACACTCAACGAATAACCGGATTTGCGTTTTGAATTTCCTTTCAATCTGGTTGGCAAATCCACAATGGCCTTTTTTGACAGGCTAATATATCATGGCATGTACTCAAATCCTGTTACACAGGTGGAGGCCTAGCTAGAACTGTTTTTTTTTTTTTAGTTTAGCAGACGGACTTAGCCAAAGTTTAGTTTCGACCGTGGCGCAGGCAAAGATTCCCTTACATGGGACGATCCATGCCCGGTAATTTTGGTATGTTTTTCGTTGAGTTTCGTAAAGAAAGAGCTCAAACGAGAAAATGAAGGGGACCAGTAAAAAAAGGAAAAGAGAACATCGTTTTCTTGTGTGACTTCTGTTTTGCTTTTACGCTGCGCAAGTCTCGGACGTACACACAAATTCATACCCCCGCCGTGGTACAAGGGGATGGGGGGCGGGGGGTGGATGGAACCCCTCTCCGGAGTCTTTGATATGTTGCAGTATTTCGAAACGATTTTTACCTTTAGTGGAAAGCCTTTAATCTTCTTAACAAGATGAGGTATAATTTATTGGTGGTGGCGCTACTGGAGGCCTGCGACGTCACCAACAATGGTCGCCATCTTGGATTTTACCAAGAATTAGAAATCAGGTTAAAACGGCGAGAAATAGTAATTTTTTGTGCTTTACATGAAACTTAACACATAAATAAACACTTTGCATCATCTTAGCCACAAGGTTAACTTTTATTGTTGAAATAAGTTAAAAAAACATGTATTTTCACCTAAAAATGGCTTGACCACCTGCTTCTTATGACGTTATATGTCGTAACCATAGCAACTGACCATCACTGAACTTGTCTCAAAATGTGTGCGAGGGATGAACGAACAGCTACTGAAAACGTCAGGTCCTGATGTTTTATCCTCTAGGAAAAAATTAAAAAAACTTTCTAAAACCCCCTTGTACGTCTGAGGGTTAACTAGGGGCTCAACGTGGTCAATGAAAGTCGATTGCTGAATTTCCGTCTAATATATATATATTTTTTTTAACGGGGATGGGCCGTTAACCCCATGGCCGAACTCCTGGCTGGCCAGGCGTTGCAAGTTGTCTTGCATATTTCACCCAAATGGTTGAACCCACCAGGAACCAAATTACAAGGTCCTTACTAGTATTATCAAGGCACACAAATCTCCCGACCACGTTTGTTTTGCGTCGCGTTAATTGATATTTTGACTTTACCATTCAGTGGTCGTTACTTACAGCTATATGCTTTCCTCTGTGTAGTCTTCGTGCGACAATTCGCCCTGTAAAAGTACTGGTAAATGCATTCCCTCGTACCAGAAAAATGGATATAAGTGTATCTGCGTGAAAGGATTCACCGGAAAAAACTGCGAAACGAGTAAGAATTACTATTAGTTGAAACAATGTTGCCAGTAATTAACAAATAAAGAAACCTTTTAGTGTGCTTTGTTCTGTTGTAAAGCACGTAGGAAGCGGTCAGAGCACGAAAGAAGTGTAGGGGATAAACACGAGACGTAGTCGAGTGTATTTCTCTAGTTCCTGAGTGCTCTAGCCGCTTCCAAGGTACTTTACAACTAAACAGGGTGACAAAAAAATAATTTTAGCATTGTAATAATAATAATAATAATAATAATTTTTTTAATAATAATACTTTATTATACTCTTCTCAAATTGAAAATTAAGTACAAATTTAGTATAACTATAGTTAAAAAAAGACTTCTTGGTGGTCTGGTGGTTTTCAACAGAGCAAATGTAAACAACTGTCTGTAAACTAAAAAAAAAGAAAATTTCTATGTTCATCCCAATGATAAATATAATATTTATTAAATTTCACTATTTACAGATTCAAGAATGAAAGTCGATTGCTGAATTTAATAGTAATAATAATAATAATGATAATAATAATAATAATTATAAAAATTGTCGGCGAATAAGTTTGACGCTGAACTTTTCCAGACCTGGTATTTTATAACCTAAAATTACACCATGAGAGGTTACCGAACACATAATTGGTGATGAATTACTTTTAAGACAGATTTCTCCAGGTAACTTTAGAACAACTAGTTTACATTTTTTAGCTGTGTTTTGGCTCTTGTTGAAGTCTAATGTGCAGCTAGAAAGTATTTTTTAATAAGCTTTTATACCTTTGACTGTCTCCTGCAGATATAAATGATTGTGATAACAGCACTTGTTTGAACAACGGAACTTGCATCGACCTAATCAATGGCTTCAACTGCAGCTGCCCTTCAGGATTTGACGGCAACCGATGCGAAATTGGTAATATACTTTTTTGCTATTATTTACCGGCATTGCATTACCGCCAAAATGCAAAATACTTAAACACCTAATGTTGCCGGACGGTTATGAATGCTGACGGGTGATAGCATGTATATGATATGGACTAATTTTAACTCTTACACGGATCGTACACCATCCGACATGTTAATGATATTGTCACTTGACCAACATGCTGCGTACGTTACCATGGGGCGACCCCTGAGATTCATAAGTTTTGCATTTGTATTGGTCTCCGAAAAAGGGGATTCAACTACAGCTGCCTGCCAGGATTTCAGGCACTCGATGTGAAATTGGTTAGCTCCGCTTTAAATTACCCCAAGTTTGTGTTAAAATCCTAGAAACACAGTAGATATACTAAAAATCGTCAAACGACAACAAAAATGACGTAAACAGAAAATTATATCAGGAGGAAGGAGAGAGATTTTAGATAAAGGAAAATCTAATCGAAGCGTCAATAATTCGTTTTACTACCTTCCACAGAAAGGATGAAGAATAAATAAAAAGGAATGATATTATACAGGATCCATGACCATAGGCTCCTGTATGATATGATATTATAATGGACTCGTTGTTTTTTTTTAAACGGGACAACAAAAACAGGAACGAAGGTTAAGAAAGGCGGAAGAACTAAACCGGACACGTAAGAATGCGAATGAAGGAAATTGGGCCCTAGGTAAAATTTGAAAATAAAAAAAAAATTGAAATACCCAAGGAAGAGTTTTAGGAACATATGAGATTGCTTTATTAAATGGTCGGTTCACAGCGTTGCCATGGTATCCCCGATTTTGTCTACCTACATGCTACGATTATAGAAACTTGAATGAGAACTTTTTATGTATATTGCTTGATTCAAAAGGTTGAGTTTGATCGTCCGGGTGAACGTAGTCCTGAATAGGACTGTTGTTGTTGACAGTGACTGACGTTTCGACAACCTGTGAGGTAGTTATCTTCAGAGTCAAAGTGAGTTGTGTCACGTCAGTTGATGGTATTATACTCTGGTTATTGATCTGATTGGTCAATTATGTCGCGATGTTATTGGTCGTCTGTCAGTTAAGCCGTGATGTTATTGGTTATGAAGACTCTTAATCAGTGATTTACTGATTGCTGAAAAGTTAAAACTACTTTTACCTTTGTTTAGGTTCTCTCAGCTCATCCAGTATCCTTGGCAGCCATGGCAGCAAGTACTCTGACCAGTTGAAATCATTTTTAGACCCAGTCCTTCAGAATCCAGGTCGCAGCAGGTTTGTGAGGTGTTGGCACGCTAAGACAGATGGTTGGGCGGCATCAACATTCCACAGCAACTGTGATGGAAAGGGTCCCACTGTAACCATCGTCCAAGTTGGTAGTTACGTATTTGGTGGATACACTGACAAGTCTTGGGGTGGTGAGTATCTGATTTCATAACAGACTTAATCGCACACAGATTAAATTGGCATACTTTTTTTTGTATACCTTCATTTGTACTGATTACGCGACCGTGTGACATCAAGGGTCCCACTGCAACTAAAACGTCGTCAGCCTCGTATACTGGTGAATACATTGAAAATTTCAGGAATTTTTCAGTGTCGTCTTTTTCATTAATTAATTAATTAATTAATTAATTGATTGATTAAACACTAACTTGATCGTCCAGATAATTTAGTATAGGTGTATCTTAAAAAATATCACAGTTTTGTATCGATGTTAAGCCTAGATTCCATTGTTGAAACCCAGTTCAAAATTGTGCCATAAATAAAACGCATTTTTTACTATATTACCTATAACGTTCTCCTTAGGGCGAAATCTTCTTTATCATTATAGTTAATTTTCAATGCAACGGAGAGAAGTCTCTAGAAATGGGGGAAATTTTTTTGTGTTGCGGTTTTGTGTTGATGCCAAATATAAAAGCATCATGATTGGCGAACCCCCCCTCCGCCCCACCCCCCCCAAAAACCTTGTTATGTAACCCGTTTAAATTTCATGGGGTTTCCTATGCCTTTTTAAACTCATCATCAGTATTCCCCATTGCAAGCTTTTCTCAGAAAAGACCGGTCGCACAGTCCTCCGACACCAAATGTCTCGTGGGAAAACGTTTATTTATCACGGTGAAAGTGTCCTAGCTATGTAATGGTACCTGTTGCCAGTCCTGTTGGATATATATCTTAAAAAGGCAATTATGGTACCTGGTAAGAGACATCAGATGAAAACAAGTTTTTGTGACAACCACTGCTACTTTTATTTCTGGCTGTGCTACTTAATAACTTTTCATGTCATAACTTTTCATTTGACTTCTTTTTATTTATTAGTCTTGGTCCAATCCTAGTAAATATCAGACTTTGTCGCACACAGTATATGTTATAGAGAATGTACATTTCATTGCACATGGTCTACAGCTCTACACTACAGAGTATCTGTGACGGAGATGGTCCCACTGAAACTACTGTTTTTGGAACATTGTTAGTTACGGCTCTGTCCATACATGTAGGTGTCCGGATATATCGAAAACGGAGCCATTCTGTCCGTTTTCAAAAAAGTTCGCATCCAGACATAGTGTATTTAGTATAGTGTATTAGCGTTTTCTGGTTTTATTTTTTTTAATTCGGGACCGTTTACGAAAACCTGCGTTTTCCGGTGCCAGAAAATGCTGTTTCAGTGTGCTAAAACGGCTAAAAGGGAGAAAAAATCTCCGTTTTCAAAAACGTCCGGGTAGATGTGGACAGGACCTAAGAGCAAGTCAGTAAATACTAAGTGTGGTTACACATAACAACGTGGTAAATGTTTAGCGTGGTATAACTAAATTGTAAACTAAAGGTTAAATTTTCACCATTTGTTGTTTGTAGGTTCAGATAATTTAGCAAAAAATGGCTTTCTTGCCTTGGGTAGCAAAACCCTTGCTAAGATAATACCACGCTAAAATGTTACGGGCACTTTCTTTGTTCTTTTTGACGTATCCATGGATAATCCCCATCTAGTATTTATCTTGGGAAAGACCGATTACTTACACTGCACCAATTTCCCGTGGTAAAAAGTTTATTCATTATTTGTTAAATTAAAATTAGTTCAACTGTTTAGAATGGTACAAGACACAACATTTAAATAAAGAAAAGGGCATAAATATACAGGAAACGGCGAATGACAAAGTGACCCGAAAAGAAAAGAATTGAACAATTGTTAATTTTTTTTTAAAACTCTTTGCTATGCTTTGCTGTTAGCCAATTCTTAGGGAAAAACTGCATTTTAACCAAATCTTCTTTTTCGAACAGTTTTTGGCCAGTTAGCAGTGAGTTAGCATAGAAATGGCTAAAAAAGAGATTTCCACCACCAACAAGAACACAGTTTTCTGCTAATTGGATGAAATTAAGCCGCTTTTTTGTTTTTCGGGCATTGCGGATCTACTTCGATCTTTTTTCTCGCTCTCTTCGTTTTCCCTTTGCCTTTCTTTTTTTAGCCAGTTTTGTTGCCCACCTTATCGTGTTTCTTTCACATGGAATTTTGACTGGCTTTCTTTCCAAGAAAGAACAAATTTAATCTGCAACGAGTAGTAGGTAAATAGCAAAATTGGCAGTGGAATTTTTCGCCAAATATTGCTTGTTTCTTGTCTGTAACTCTGTCAGGATTGGTCAAAATTTGCTAAATGAGGCACCAGTGGAAAGATCTATCCTGGCTTATTTTGCTAATTACCATCTTAGTAGCTTAAATAGGGACTCTACCAAACCACGATGACGACGGCAACGAGAACGTCAAAAAACAATAGGTTTAATGAGCAGAACAACAACTCTGCACGTGCATCATGCTTTTTTGTACATTTCTTTGCCTTCAATGCACAACTACGACGTGAAATGACGCAATTTTAAGTTTACTTGGGAACGGGAACGGCAAGGCGATAAATTCTACCATCTATGTCCGAACTTGAGCGCGTTCCCCTCTCTTCGGTTCCAGCCAAAATTCCCATCTCTTAAGCAACAGGGCGAATTGGGATAATCGCCAAAAAGTTTAAAATGATGCGAAGTCTGTTTTTCAGCGACGTTTTCGTGGACGTCGCCGTTGTCGGATCGTAAGGTCCCTAATGGAAGGATGTTAGAAATTATTGCGTCATTGTGGCGGGAAAACCCGTCACGTGATCTGAAAACTGAGCTTTTTGTTAGAACTGTGTAGTCGTTCGGAGATGTTAAGCTGAACAAGTGTGTGGATTGAGTTTAGATCATCAAGTTTTCCGCGCATTGATGTCGATGAATCCTTTAAGTGTAGAACAGAGTACAGAATTCTAAAATATGAACCTGTGAAGAAATATGCTTTAATGGAGTGAAGAATAAAAGCTACAGAGAACTGATTATATATACAACATTTGGTCACATGGTCCTTCGCAATCGCCGGATCGGCGAAACAAGTTTAATCAATTAATCGTCAAGATCAGGATTACAGTACAAGAAGAAAAGAATGGACAACGAAAAAGCAAAGAGAATTAGAAACGCCCACAGAGCTTTTGTGGAGAAAACGATGGAAGGTGCGACGAGGATTTTAGTCGAGCAAACTGCCGATCACGTGGAAGATTCATCAAGGGAAAAACTTATGGGACTGAAATTCACCCTCAATGAAAGACTAGAAACTATCCAAAAGCTGGACGAAACAATTCTGGAAAACAGTAAGGGGAGAGACATTGAGAAAGAAGTCGGGGATTGTGGTGAGTTTTGTGCAAAAGTTTACCGTATTTTGGCTAGAATTGACTTGAGTTTAGAGGATGCTAAAAATAGCGCACACGTGGGAACTTCACCAAGCTTCAGTCAAATTAATAACAATGTCAAAAGCAATGAGGGCGCGAAAGTGAAGCTACCTAAACTAGAACTAAAGTCATTTTCAGGCAACTACGAGGAATGGCGGAGTTTCTGGGACACTTTCGAATCTGCGGTTAACAGAAACACTGACATTTCAAGAATCCAAAAATTCACCTATTTGAAGAGTTGTGTGACAGGCGCAGCCGAATCTGCAATTACTGGGCTGCCTCTCACTGAAGACAATTACGAAACTGCCATTGATATACTTAGAGATAGATTTGGTAAACCACAGCTGTTGATTTCTAACCACATGGACGCTTTGTTGAAATTGCCAGTAGTCAGTTCAGTGCATGAAACGAAGAAACTTCGTGATTTGTATGACAAGATTGAGATAAACATTCGAAGTTTGAAGGCACTAGGTGTCGAATCAGAGTCCTTTGGAAATTTATTAGTTCCAGTTGTAATGGAGAAAATTCCTTCTGAGTTGAGATTAATCATCAGTCGCAAGTTTGGCAGTAAAGAAACTTGGGACCTTGATGTCCTGTTAAATGCACTGAAATCTGAGTTGGAGGCAAGAGAAAGGTGTAATGTAGTGAAAACAAGTAGTCCAACCAATTCTAACCCTAGATTTGACCAGCATAAGGGAAGATTCAAACAGCCCCTTTCCTCATCTGCACTTCATGCGGGCAGTGAAGAGTGTACTCTGCAATGTGTCTTTTGCAAGAAAAATCACAAGTCCATCACCTGTAGTACCATTACTGAACCAAAGGCTAGAAGAACTATACTGAGACGAAGTGGCAGGTGTTTTGTTTGCTTGAAAGCAGGGCATATTGCACCGGGTTGTCAGTCAAGGGCCAAATGTTTTAATTGTGGAGCTAGACATCATGTGACTATCTGTGAAAACCCTAAGAAGCCTGTCCAACCTAGTAGTTCAGGAGCTGAATTAGCATCACTTAGTAGATCTGAAACTTCCCAGGAGAGATCCAGAGATGTTGGAACATCAACAATGCATGTTGGCAGCAATAATAACTCTATACTGTTGCAGACTGCCCAAGCCTTTGTTTCTAGACCAGATAATCAAGAAACTGGAATGTATACTCAAGTCATTTTTGACTCTTGTAGCCAGAGATCTTATATAACCTGCAAGACACGTGAGCAGTTAAAATTACCTACTGTTGGTAAGGAAACCTTGCTAATCAAAACATTTGGTGACAATTCAGCATCTGTAAAGGAATGTGACATTGTGCAATTGTGCATCAGAACAATAGATGGAATGAGTGTGTACGTCACTGCTTACGTTGTACCAGTAATATGCAGTCCAGTATCGAACCAAGAAATTCAAAGTGCAGTAGAATGCTATCCATACCTTCAAGGGCTACAGCTTGCATGTGGAGCTGTTAATGGAACAGTTAGTGTTGACTTACTAATAGGAGCAGATCACTACTGGTCTTTCTTTACTGGAGGAATAATCAGGGGAGATCCTTCTGGACCTGTAGCTCTTGAGACCAAGTTGGGATGGGTACTGTCAGGACCAGCTGCAGTTCCAGCATTGACAGAGTCATGCACAGTTAACCTAAGTGCTACACATGTTTTGAAAATTGAGTCAGCTGACATCAGCCATGTGCAAGATGATTTGCAGAAATTTTGGGACTT